TGGTTAGTGTCCGTTGAGACCAGCCGCCGTAACCGGATTCCGTTCTGGGAGACATTATTCCTCGTTCGTTCGCCTGCAGGCTGCGCCGCGTGCGCGTGAGGTAAAATTTGTGGAAAAGTGAGCCTTTTATCCCTTAACCAGACACAATAAATAAATAACTTATCTTGGTATGAGGGATAAACGTTTTTCCAGAGAAAACAGCAAGCCATAGGCATCGCACACCGGTTTAATTGTTCATCTTGATGGTAAGGGAACTACCGCTACCCGCGGGTACCTCTACTAACCAATTATAAACATAGAAGCGCGATGCATTTTACATCCGAGAATCAAAATGGATCGCACAGCCTGAAATTACACTGGCCCTTTGTACTGTTCAGAGGACGACACAGCAGTGCAGTTCAACAGGAAAGTAGGAGTAAGTCCGAGAGACTCCTTGGCAAATAAAGACCTACTACCTCGTGAGTGAGGCGTTAATGGCGAAACTAAACATAGGTTATGTTCTGTGTGATGTTTAAATTTCTGCCTTGTAAGAATGCTCTGTGACGCAGTTGCTTAGTAATGAGTTGTGGTGCTGAGGGCCGCGAGTTCGAATCCCGCATGAAACAAATATCTGTATAGCCTAGGTATTGTTCCGGTTCTAGATGTTTGCCCTTATGAAATTTATATATTAGGGTAAGTCCGGGGGAGATGCCCGTAAAGGACAGATGGCCACTTGAAAAAATCATAGAAGTACTGCCTGCTACTACCTGCAGTACTCTTTAGTTAGTACAATTCGTGCAGTGAGTGTGAACAACATTTCGCTAGATCTCCGGCGAAAAATCAACAAAAAGTAAGTAAAATGTACCTATATTGATTTATATGGAGCTTAAAGTTTTCAAAGGGTTTGCGTTACATAGTTTTGGTTATAACAAATCATATAACATTAGTATTTTTTTAAATTAAATGTTCAGTTTATGAACCAAACCTTAAGATAACCGGCAAATAGTGCGTGGAATGTTTATATTTTTTTACAAATAATGTGTGGCCATCTATCCCGGACGATTAGGAGAGATGGCCATACATGGTCGGTATGAGATGGCCATACATAAGTAATGTGTAATATTAAAAGTTGTATTATAATAACTTGCAATATTTTCTTTATTCATGGTTATTTATGTTAATTATGCTTGAGTAATAAACTATAGTATTTTATTTTTAGATGCCAAATGAAAACCAAAGGAAAGCAGTCAGCTCACGACGGAACTGGATTGAAGAATCATTTAAGGCAACCATGAATGCTGTTTGAAGATAAAATGTCTATTTGCATAGCTTCTTTATAGAGTATAGAAAGATGATACAAGTAAAATAATGACAAGGACTATCATCTCTATTCAGCGAAGAAAATGAGAAGAAACTCGCTACTCGCTAATTACATTAAGTTATGTAACAAAATAATTAAGTTATCTGAAAGCAGTGATAAGGGGGAAGAACCAATATTATGTGATTTGACAAATGAGGGAGGAAGAAACAGAGAAGTTGACAACTGTGTAGCTCGTGGAGAACATTATTATGAAACGCATCTTATCAAAGACTTGCTTCAATGCGTTTTATGCCAATTGTGACTCCATAAAAATTGAACCGAGTTTGATGAAATGAATATGAAAAGAGTAGATGAAATGCTGATTAATGAACTGGCAATCTATTGCCTTGCTCTTATGGCCATCTCTACCGAGCACTACAGGAGAGATGGCCAATCCTAATTTAGAAAAAAATCTAAATCAAGGAGTGATTATGTTGAAGTTCAATAATTTTATATAATATTCTAAGAGTTTAATATCGAAAGTTTAATTAAAAGTTGATTTTTGTTAATTAATATTTGTAATTTTAATTTTACTGGACTCTAAAAAAAACTATGGTAACTATTCCGGACTTAACCTATTTAAAGTACCTCAACGAATATCACGAAATTTTATTCTTTTAAAATAAATTTTCCTCTTAAATAACCATCTCAGAAATCCAAAGAGGCATATGTTTCTAGCATGTTGAACGTGTGAAGGCTGTAATTATTCTTAATTTTAACGTTACTAAAATAAGTTTCACACCCGCGACAACTATACGACTACATCCAGTGCTCAGTAATTCATGGTATTTCCTACCCTCTTTACTGTTCCAGCCGCCAAGCAACTACTGCTATGTTGCGGTTTGTAGAGTAGCAGGTCCAGTATTCCTATCCCTATCCTTTGTTTAAAGTTAATTGCTGGCGAGCCGCAGCTATCGCAAATTATCGTCACTCGTTTTCAATAAAACACAGCAATTAAATGTTAATTAATTAATAAGCTACCATATAAAATATCCATATATAACTCACAAACGCATATCGATCATTGACAAAACATTATTTCGAGCTGAAAAAGACTATATCGAAATTGTATTCATTACAAATAATAAATAATTTTTTTTTGAATTTAAATGAATATGTCGCTGCAGTTTTATTACCTGTTGCTAAACTATTAAATACGTTTTGTATGAGCACATGTAACGTACATCAGACAGTAGAGTGTACAGCAAGAATTATTAAGTAAGCAATTGTACACTATACACATGCAGATGCGATATGACCACAGTTTGTTCCTAAATAGTCTATAACATTTATACTACAAAATTATTGTCATCGGTTGTCAGAGTTATGTGTGACCTTAAGAATTAAAAAAATGGTCTGGTAATTGTACATAGCATTATGAGAGTGAATGTGTGAAACTTTTCCCTGAATAGCTTGCAGCTTATTCCCACGTGGTGCGTATATCTATAGGAAAAGCTAAACTTAAATCTCACGGAATTGTAACAAGGAGCAGCACCATTAAGACGCAGACATCAGGTCTACGTTTGCTGTCCCGCATACCTCGTGCGGTGAGTATGAATAAATCTATCAAAACAGACGTGCCATATGTTGCAAAATATTTGTAAAGGCCTATATGCAGCAGTGAATTAAAAAACGATGTTAAACCAAAAAATAATATACTATCTAAACTGACTACAAAATTGTCAACTAAAATATTATTTTTTCTTAATTATTTTTATACTTTTCTTTCTCCCCACATGTTATGGATAAATATAAATCTTTATATGCGCGGGACATGCTCATGAACAGTTGTCATTAATTACCGTAACAACCTATCTAGTCTAGTGTTAAACAATAGCTTCCCTATAGATTGGCTTACAGCAAGGATTTCGCCATAGTTGCCACGCTTGGCACGTGGATGGCAATGGCAGTTTTTAATAGTTAGAGCTGTTACATATATACATACGACTATATTTTTTTGTTATTCATATCCATGTATTATAAGCTTTGTACATGCTACATCACGTCATGTAAATATAATGTCATACTAATATTTTTTTATTAAAGTAAACTTCATAACGCCATTAAACATTTTTAAATAGTTCGCTAAAGTTATTATTTAAAGCGATACATGTGCTCTCATTTACAAAGTGTCTTGAAAAAGCGGTTTACAATATTGTTCAGGTTAAGCACATACATCTCTCACAATTCTTATGTACAATGTATGCGATCTGTCACCGCCGAGCAACGAAGTCGTAATTATCTCCGTACTTGTGCGTGGTTAACATGCGTACCCATAACCACATGAGATTTTTCACTCATTAGTGGCTGAAGATTACTTTTAGCAATACATTATTGTTAAGAATATCTTCAGGTGCATTTTAATTTTCTTAATAAGGATATTTAAAACAAACATTATAATAAAACAACGTTACAATGACCCTTAAAAATTAATGAACTTAAAAAGAAATATTGTATTGTACCATTAAATTACATTGCAACACATTTTTATAATAAACCAATATTTTTCCAAAAAAATATCTTCAAACCTACAACAATGAAACGCTCTTACAAACTTAGGTTAAAACGACAACCATAAACTTTCTGTTCGACAAAATAGCTTGAAAAATTATGTTTAGCTTGAAAAGTATAAAATTTTGATAAATATAATTTAACCAATTCGCATCATACCAAGCGATTACATCTACACATTTGTTGCGTGCTCAATTCAATATAAGTGTACCAGTTTTCACTCCTTGCTAAACAGCATTAAATATTGTTTAGTCACTTTTTGTTTCAAATACAATACATTTGTTTACATTGCAATGGTATTAACATAGTAGTTAAAAGTTTAATTCCTTTATTTCACCTTCTTTGTGTGCGTAAATTTATTTAAGTACCTATGTAGGCTTTGATCGTAGAAACTGAACATTGAAAACTTTTGAAAATGTAATTGACTTTGTCATATTTTATGGCAGCATTATTGGGTAAAATATTTCTCGTGAAAGAATTCTTTTTAGGTATTTATGTTGTAATTGAAAGCTATAAGAATATTAATAGGCAATTTTAAAACATAAATTTTAATGAAAATATTATATGTAAATAGTTTATATTGGTAACTCATCTTGTATATACATAGATAGTACGCGGTGAAGCCGTGCTGCAGCTGTAGCCACTATGGCTGCAGCACGAATGGGTTGGCTGAAAGGGAAAGAACCACGCTCTCACAGAATACCAGCATAAAGTAGTACAAGTATGATGAGTGTAGAGAACAGAAGACCCTTTGTACTGATAACGAGACAAGAATGTCTAAGAAAGGTAGAAATGCTAGTTTTCAGAGGAACGATGCTTTTGAACTTTGGTTCTTGATCGAAGACAGATGTAAAGTCTGTGGCCACGAAAAGCTTACCGTCAGGTGGACTGTGTGCGCTCGTTTCTCACAACATTTTATAAAAAAACCTAATAGAGTACGAGTAATTCAGTTGGACAAATACATTGCATTAATAGCTTTATTATAATGGTTAAGTGATAATGATGTGCAGAAGAAGAGTATAGTTAATAAACATAACGACACAAACGCAAAAACTATGTATTGAATAACATTTAACTCGATAAACCATACATGAGGTATTATTGTATAGATATTTTAAAATATGAGAAGCGAACCGCTTTGAAACCGAGTTCACAGGAGTTTTATTCCTGTAAGAACGTCGCGTAGTCCGCTGAAATTCAGTCCGCGTTCGGGTCGGAAAAGTCGTATGTAAAGCGCGAGGAAAATCCATAACGGCTCGCGGAAAACCCTTTTAATATACGGCACGTAAATAAGAGCGGGTGGTGGCGGGTGTATGGGGGGCGGGGGCGGGCGGCGGTGGGCGGCGGCTGCGATTGGTGGCGCGCGGCCCGCCCCCGCGCCGGAAAAAACCGTCTGAAAAAAGCGCGGGCCGCGCGTCAGTGAGTCGCTCGCGCGCTTGCAGTGCGGACGTACGTAGAGACGGCGCGACCCGGCACCGGCGGCGGCCGCGCCATGCCCGCGCTGGAGCTGGACCAGCCGCTCGACTGCTCGCTGCGCCTGCGCGACCCCTGGCACAGCCTGCCCGCCCGCCCAGCCGCTCGCCCGCCCGCCCACGGTCAGTAGCGTGCGCCACCACATCCGACCGCTCCAACTACAACTCTCCCTGGCTTGCTCCGGCGCATTCGGAGACTCCATGTTCTATTGTGCATTGTGTTTGTTTTTCGTTTTCGTCTATACACTTTGATAAACGTTGCTTAATGAGTTGCGATTCGCTCCGAAACAGTAAGTAGAGTTTTGTGTTTACACTTCTGAAAAATCTTGTGGACCTTCATTCTCTAGCAGGTGCAGCATGACTCTAATCGCTCTCGCTGTGGTGAAGTTTTCCAAGTTTCCACTTATAAAAAGGAAGGATTAAAAAAATTTAATTCCCCGCTTTAAATAGTATTCTTCGACGACTAAATAGCACTTCTGTAATTACTAATGCAACGCCTCTTGTCCTAGAAAGCGATAAATAATATCCTCGAGACGATATTTATTTTTCAATAACCGCCCTCATCTCCGACACATAAAGACGTGTCAACAAGTTATCAGGTCGTAATCCTGAAGCAGGTCGTCGCAGGCCGGGCAAGGGTTGCGACCCTTCAAATAATATTAACTCTCTCCATAGCCGTCCTTTGTCGCGCGCCCGCTGCAAAACGATTCCTTTGACACGCCCCGAATGCACTCCATCTCTTTATTGTAGACTGAGAGCCTCGGGGTCGCGCCATTCAATTTATTCTATTAAAGTCCCGTCTTGTGAATGTAATGGGCTCCGATGTAAACAGAGTGCTCTCGCGTGCTCGAAATCTAAGTAATGGATGTTACGCGACTTTCATTAAGCATATGTTGACTATGAACATACAGTTTTTGCAATATCAAATCATTTAGATAAATCAAAATACTACGTGTATATTATTATTCTTTCATCGCGTTTCTTATCTTATCTTATCTATGTTACTTTAACTTATATCTCACAACATCTCCACGGCCGGCAGTGCTGCTGTTGATTTCGTTTTGAATACTTTGAATAAGGCATGCCTATATAATAAGGAATTACAAATAATGAGAAAGGGATCTGTCCATTTAGATTTTTTTTAATCCGAGACGAAATGAACGCCGTCGTCTCGCAATAGGTTCCGTCGGCGACTGACCGGTGCGTCAGTCTCTTATGTTATTATAATAATAACCTATTATTATTCTAATCTAAAACTGCGTATTATTACAAATTATGAATGTTTGTTATATTTTAAAAAATATATTTTTTCATTTTAAGTTCTAATGAATGCAGCTATTGTCTGCTCCCGTAAGATAAACTAAAATAATAATTTAAACAAAATAATATTTAATTTAAAAATATAATTACGAAACATTAATTTTGTTTATTCTCTTATATAAACTTTTAATAAAATTGCTTAAAATTATTAATTTATTCGTCGCTATGAGAGTAACGCAAGCACTTGGGCGCCTGGTTCTCATGCAAATAGGTAGGTACCTATAATATTTTAAAAAATAACAATTACTGAAGTAAAGTCTTTTTTGTGTAATACTGGTAATAATAGCGTTTATAATTTCAAAGTTACTTTATTTTGGGAACGCAAACTAACGAAAATTTCAACTTTTGATTTAGTAAATATAAAAATGCGAAAAGCGATAAAACTACAAATTCAAAAACATATAGCTTAATTTAGTATTAATGACATTATAGCTGAATAGCTGTTATAATGCTGAATAACTATATATAATTAGTAAACTTAAACTTCAGAAACAATAGTTATAAAAGTATTCCGTGTCCTTCCGCACATTCGACTGCTACGGGTAAGTACGAGTATACCTACCTGACTTTATTAAAATACGTCCAACCGCACAAACCTTATTGCGGGACCAACATTGGCCTATATACTTTCATATTCATATTATTATAATAAGATTATCAGAACTATTGTAATTTATACATTTTAACACACACAAAGTTAAAATGTATAAATTATTAATTTAAACAATTGTATGTTGCAAGGTACCTACCTAACTGGTTTGTTATTCATTTCTTCTCAATTTCGTAGTTGTTCAGCTAGTTATGGCGTCTCAAGTTATTTTCAAAATTCTTAAAATTATCCTTATGTTTCTGCGTAAAACAAACATCATTACATCTGTAAACATATGTCATCAGTAAAATAATTTAGATTTAACTGACGAAATGAGGGAAATGGGTAATGTAACATTATTAGATTGCGCTAGCCTGTGATTACAGGGTACAGTGCTATTCAAAGATGAAGCCGAAATGTCTCCATCACAGCGCCGAAACAATAGGGTCCGTTATAACGATATGATTACAATCCAATCAAATTATAATAAAATTACTATTAAATTGGAAGCGAACGCCGCGTTAATGATAAAAGAGGGAACATTCGAGTGCGTAATGGTGATGTAGAGGAAACGAGTCGCAATGGGTTCGCAGCGGCTTGTCGGTTTCCGCCTGCTGCGGCGTGCAGCTCGCGCGGCGCCTGGGAGCGACGTGAACTTTGCCACGCGCACGCAAGGGCCCCCGCGCACCGCCAATAATTCGTCTGTACTATAACAACTCGTCTACTTATATATGTTTTTATAGTTAAATTTCTGCTGACCTTTCGCCGCAGGGCATTCATCGTCACGCTATGTGTACGCTCCAAAAACCATACTTTGTGCTGATGCGGTTCGAATCAATTGAAGTGCACCTGTTTTCAAATTAAACTCAGTGCATGTTAAACCGTTAAAGTGATAGCGCGGGTGCTTACTTTCTACACCACTCCTACGTACTTCACAGAGTGGGGACGCCGTTCGTCAGCGAAAAGTTAATGTTATGAGTTATCGCGGGTGAAACAGTATCCAACACGTGCAACACCGTTACCCTACTCACATCAACACAACCAATGGCTTTCTTTACTCATGTGCTTACATACTATCGTCTCAACCCATCCTTAAACTAATTTAACTATCAAAAAGCTGTATGAGGCGTAAACTGTGATCCGCACACTAAGCTATCAACCCGTCATTTGTTCCGTCAATGTCTATTAAATAATAATATCTATTCCATCCGAACATATCCAATTATATCCGAATATTTGGCTGGAACCAAGAATTTCTTAATATATAGTTTAATAAGATTTTACAAATTCAGATAGAGATATCGCAGGTTTATTCTTTACAATAATTAAAGTATTTATCACGGGTGCTTAATCTCTAACTAATGAATATTTTTAAAATAGTTGAGCTGCCGACACATCAATCTTGTCAAATAATCGCGGTTAAAAACATGCAAATTTAAAAATAAATTATACCTTGTGTGTTTGTCTTGTTACAAACAATAATATAGCCTTAAGCGAAGCAGTTAGATTTCATTAGGATAGGTGGAGCCATGTTAGTTTATGCAAATGTTGTTAATTTGAATACTTTATTGTTGAATTATTCCTATGTTCTCAATCCTTGCCCGCCGGTTGATCTCTTCGTGTAAAACTCCAGCTTCTAATTTAATGCCAGGTTTTCACACAATAATTATGGTCCACTTTCATGCAGCAATTATTTTGAATAATCTTAGTCTGATTTCATTAACATAATATTTCATTTGCTCGTCATTAAAATACCGAGGTTCGTTTGTATCGCCGTTGAGAACGTTCCGGCGCTCGGTACGCAATTCATTAGCTTCTCTTCTCGTACGATGTGACGCGATGCTTACGATAACGCCTGTTTGTCCATACAATAGCTATCCATGCACGTGTTATTATAGATTGTAATAATTGTTTACCATTCGATAAAAGTTATAAAAGTGACGTTCACTATTTTATGTCAAGAATTATTTAGATAATTAATTGAATTTATGGATTTTTTGCGTTATAAGTTATGGAAATACACTGTGCATGCTCGTATTCCATATTATGACACTAAGAATGTTATACTTATTTGAAAATTCTAAAAAATTTGAAAATTGTACGTATTTAAAAGCTTACCATTCTCACGTTGCTTGATTTTAGTAACGCATTTAATACTGTAGATTTTGATATCTTGTTAAGCATCCTACGACGACTATAAGACGAAATAAAACTTACAGCAGGACCACTGGAGAAGGGTTGTTCAAGATAGACAACAATGGAAATCGTTGGAGGCCTTTGCCAGTAGGCACGCCGAACTAAGAGACATTTTATAGTTAGTAGATTCTTTTATCTTAAGTTTTAATGTTAAATGCTATTAGATCGGAATAAACGGCTTTATTATTACTATAAGCATCCTACGCTCTCTCAACATGTCTCCAACTGTAGTTGACTGGTTTCGAAGTTACTTGTTTGGTCGCCGACAGCGAATTCAGGTGCAAGAGGTTTTTTCCACCTGGACTACTACAGCTGCTGGTGTACCACAAGGTGGCGTGTTGTCTCCTCTCCTTTTTGCAATTTTCATTAACTCTATAAGTCATAATTTGTCCTCTTCCTACCACTTGTATGCTGATGATCTCCAAATCTATACTCAGTCCTCTCTTGAAGATCTATCTAAAGCAGTTGACACTATTAACGCTGATCTGACTTGTATTTCGAATTGGAGTAAATGTTATGCTTTATCGATTAATCCTAAGAAAACTCAGGTCATTGTCATCGGTAGTTCTCGATTAATTGGTAAAATTGACTGATCTTCCCTACCCCCCATTATACTAGACTGCACTCTAATCCCTTACAGTAACAAGGTTAAAAACCTGGGGTTGTATCTTGACTCCTGTATGTCTTGGACCTCACAGGTTAGTGAGGTCAGCAGAAAAATGTTTGCTGCTTTAAGCTCTTTACGTAGATTACGTAATTTCCTTCCCACAGCAACTAAAGTTACGCTCGCCTAGTCTCTACTTCTGTCTATCCTTGACTATGCTGATATTTTCTATCTTGACATTACCGAGGAGCAGCTTAATAAGCTTGAGCGCATTCAAAATTTATGCATTAGATTTATATTTGGGCTTCGCAAATATGATCATATCTCCGAATTTCGCAAACAGCTCAAATGGCTCCCGATCCGCCTTCGCAGGAATACTCACATTCTCTCCGAGTTGTATAGTGTGCTGTTTAATCCTTCCACTCCTCTTTATTTAAAAAACCGTTTCCAGTATCTTTCTCTTACCCATAATCGGTTCCTTCGATCCTCCGTCA